GTACCTGGAACTAAACCCCAGTGGATACAACAATTTGAGACTATATTTTTTGTGGGTTTTTCAGGCCGTGTGGCCATGTCCTAGAAGAGTTTCTTTCTGATGTTTTGCCAGAATCTGTGGCTGGCATCTTCAGAGAATTTGAGACTAACTGCCCAGTGGTTACTAGGGTTGGGGGTTCCCCAGGCAGGCAGCCACCCCACAACTCCGGGAGGGATCCAGTCTCGGTCGCTTGCCTCTGTCCCTGGAGGCGACCCACTGGTCTTCCACAGTTGTCTCCCTCTGTTCTAATCCACTGTCTCTTGTTTTTGCAGAAGTGGTAAGCATTAATACCAATTCAAGGGCTGCATCCAGGGTGACTAGACGTCCTCCTTTTCCAGGATATGTTCTACATTTCAACCTTCTCTCCAGGAGGAATTCCAAAGTGTCTTCCATTTTGAGTATGACTAAGAAGCATGGATTTATATTTATATTAGTATTTCAAATTTTTATTTTCTAACGTCCTACATTTTTCTTGAATGTTCTACATTTTACGGTGCCTTGTCCTGCTTTGCAGTTAGCACATCTGGTCACCCTGCCTTTTCCTTTGCTAGTATGGAAAGGGATCTTGGAGCACCTTTGAGACTACATTTATCCCTCCACATTTGCGACTTTGATTATTCATGGATTTTATTACTGTGTTCTTTCTAGGAATATCTAGCTCCTCCAGCACAACTCTGTGGTCAACTTTAACCAAAAGTCGCACTGAAGGACATCTAGAGATTCCTAGAGAGGTATTTGTAACTCCTCCAGTGTAATTCTATGGTCAATGTCTGGCAGATGTTGAGCACCTAGAGAGGTGTTATCTCAGGTAAAAACATAGTGTTTTTGTTATTTGCAGTTTTTCCACATTCACGGGGTCCTGTGCCCCTAACTCAAGTGAATGTGGATGGACGAGAAGAAGTAGACACAAGTCTAGGGAGGCTCATGCTACCAGCTTATTTCTTTCCATTAGTCTTAAAGGTGCTACAAGATCCCTTTGCAAACTTATTTTTCAAACTAACACAGCTATGTCTCTGAATTGTGTTTACACTAGGTGAGGGTTCCCAGGTCTCAGGGTCTGATCCCTCTTCTTCAATCCTCAGGGCAAGGGAGAGGAATCTCAGGATGACAGCGCTACCTTGCAAAGTGCCTCTGTATACATTTTCCTCATTTGTTAGATTTGGTATATTTATATTAATGCTTTTAACTTTTATTTTGTAATGTCCTACATTTTTCTTGAATGTTTTACATTTTACGGTGCCTTGTCCTCCTTTGCGGTTAGGACATCTGGTCACCCCAGCTGCATCTACACCGCAGAATTAATGCAGTTTGACACCGCTTTAACTGCCAGGGCTCCATGCTATGGAATTACAGGGTTTGTAGTTTTGTGAGGTATTTAGGAGAGCCAGCGTGGCCTAGTGCTTTGAGCGCTGAACAATGACTCTGGAGACCAGGGTTTGATTCCTTGCTTGGCCATAAAACCCACTGGATGACCTTGGGCAAGTAACACTCTCTCAGCCACATGGATGGAAATGGTAAACCTCCTCTAAACAAATCTTGCCAAGAAAACCCCATGATAGACTCGCCTTAGGGTCACCATAAGATGGAAATGACTTAAAAGCACACAGCAACAACAACAAGCGGTGTTTAGCCTTCTCTTTCAGAGAGCTCTGGTGCCACCACAAACTACAAATCCCAGCATCCCACAGCATGGAGCCATGGCACTTAAAGTGGTGTCAAACTGCATTAAACTGCAGAGTGGCAGCAGTCTGGGATGCAAAACAGAAGTCATATTATGTAGAAGGAAACTACTTCCCCCAGAATCCTCTGAGCCTGGAAAGGGAAGAAAGGAAAAACTACAAGTCCCAGGGTGCAGAGGGTGGCTTCCTGCCCTCCAACCCCCCCTCCCCAATAATCAGGTTGCTTTGTTAGAGGAGATGGAGGGGGATGAGATTGAACCCCTCATCAGGAAAGAAACAGGATAAATTCTCCTTTTTTGCTTTCAATTAGGGTTTTCCTTCCCTCCAAAAATGCTCTTCACACCTGAGAAAAAGGCTGGAGTTGCCTCTGAATCCTGCAGCTGGTGTATGTAAGAGGTGAGGGAGAGTAGAAATGGACAGGGGTGATGGTGATGATGATGATGATTTCTTATTTTAATAAAGGTTCCTTCTGTGAGCATCAGCCTTGGCTTTGCTCGGCTGGTCACTTTTCCCAAGGAATGGAAGAGATCCAGGTAGAAGGGAAGGTAAAATTGTAAAAATCCAGTTGGAGGAATTACGGCAGACCTAAAACCTGAGCAAGGTAAGTGAACAAATCCCCTTTTGTTTGGGTAAAACGTGTTAGAAATTGCTGTGCATTAAAAATAAATTAGGACAAATATACGGCAACTTGAGTTTATCCTGTCTCAGAGGTTGGAGAGAATTCTGAGTGGATAGGATTATTATTTTTGATGTGTTTTCAAAATGGAAAAAATCAAACTTCCTTGCCTTTTTTCTCCCCCAGCAAACCTAGGAACTCTGCAGGATGAAACCTAACACCCAGCACCGGATCTGTCCCATTAGATGGCATCCTCTTCCTCTTCATTATGTCTTCACTTCAGACAAAAGGCAGATCTAAGGACTGTCTGAGGAAGGCTTGCATCCTCTGGGTTGGTCCCTGCTAGAGTAGACCCATTGAATCAGTGGCATTTACCCATATGTTGATTTACTTTAGAGAAGATTCAAGCCTAAGGTCCAAACCACACTGCAGAAATAATCCAGTCTGAGACCGCTTTAACTGCCCTAGCTCAGTGTTAGGAAATCCTGAGAACTGTAGTTTTGTGAGACATTTAGCCTTCTCTGTCAGCGAACTCTGGAACTACAAGAAACTACAATTCCCAGGATCCCCTAGCAGTTAAAGTGGTCTCAAACTGGATTATTTCTGCAGTGTGTTTTTGACCTAAGTTTCCCCTCCCTCTTTCCCTTTATCTGGTGCCCATTCACACTATGCAATTGATAGTCTTATGACTCCACTTTTAATGCCACAGTTTCCATCCTTGGATCTGCAGTCCAGGAAGGAGTCCTTAGAATTCTCATCCAGAGAGCTCTAGTACCTCCCCAAACTGCAAATCCCGAGATGCCATGGGATGTTACCATGCTAGCAAAAGTGAAATAATAGCACGATGACTGTGGTGTGTAAACGGGCCCCAAATTTAGGGGTAACTTTACATGTTGAAGAAGATCCAAAGATCATTCAAGTCTGTACACATTTTGGTGTGCTTTTTGGTTAGCTTAATAACCATATTATCACAGATGGATTTATTTATTTGGACTTTTTTTCTCAAGAGTCAACACAGCTACCACTGTTTTTTAAATGTTTATTTCTTTATTGTGTAAGTCATATCCAAGATATTAACAGCAAACTCAGTTCTTAAAGCATTGGACCGTATGTCACCAAACTGGACCTGTCCATGCAGAAGAAGGAGATACGGTGGAGTCTGAGAATCCAGGTTTTAGTTTGAATTTCTCAGCCTATTTCATTCTAATCTCACCCCCACAAATAGGGAAGAGTGGGTAGGTCACTGAGGTTGTGAATCAGCTCCAGGTTTCTATCCATATGTCCAAGGATTGATCCAAGAGGCTGAACCTTTCGAGGGTAGGATTCAGATTCTTAGATAGCTGAGTTTGGAGTAGATCCCAGAGCAGATTCACTGCTCCACTGACCTAGAAGCCACTTACCACCACAAGCTATGGGAGTGTGTTTATAAAACAAACAGGAATGCAGAAAAATAGCAGTTAAGTATTGGTCCTCCTTAACCTTCAAAGGACTGTTTTCAAAGAGAAAGCTGTATTAACCTTAAAAAAAGGAAAATGGTGGGATATAAATCCAATAAATAAATAAGAGCGAGTTTATGGCACTTTTAAGACCAAAACACACTGCAGAAATAATCCAACCTGAAGACCAATTTAACTGCTCTGGTTCAGTTAGGGGATCCTGGGAATTGCAGTTTATTGGGGCACTAGAGCTCTCTGACAGAGAAGGCAAAATGTCTCACTAAACTACAGTTCTCAGAATTCCCTAGCATTGAGCCAGGGCAGGTAAAGCGGTCTCAAACTGGATGATTTCTGCAGTGTGTTTTGGATCTAAGGCTGCATCTGTACTGCAGAATGAATGCACTCTGACTCTGCTTTGACCACTCAATAGAATTGCCAGAGTGAAACCCAGAAATGCCTCCTGTACCTTTAATGGTTATGTAAAAGAGGGAATTTTGACAGGTGATGCTTGTTACCTGGTTGCATGACTAGCAATCCCTGCTGAAATTCCTTCTTCTAGGCAACTATTAAAAATACAGGAGCCCTCTCCAGTTTGTTCTCTGGCAATCCCACCACCAAACGCCAGTCTGCATTCCTTGACCATTAAAGCAGCAGTTCCCAACCTTTGGTCCTCCATTTGTTTTGGACTTCAGATCCCAGAAGCCCCAGCCAATTTGGCCAACAGTCAGAAATTCTGGGAGTTGAAATCCATCCATATATGGATGCTGATACCTGGTTTTAGTATGAATTGTAACAAAGAACTTTTTGAGGTGCTCAATTCTATTGTCCAAAAGAGATTCAGCACCTTGGACAGCATAACGTTGGTTACATCTACTAAAATAAATCTCTTGGGCTGCAGCCATACTGCAGAATTAATACAGTTTGACACTACTTTAACTGTCAGGGCACCATCCTATGGAATCCTGGGATTTGTAGTTTGTTGTGGCGCCAGATTTCTCTGTCAGAGAAGGCTAAATATCTCACAGAACTACAAATCCTTATGTCCCAGACTTCCATACCTTGGTGCCATGGCAATTAAAGCATTTATTGTTGTTGTTGGGTGCCTTCAAGTCATTTCTGCCTTAAGGCGACCCTAAGGTGAACCATGGGGTTTTCTTGGCAAGATTTGTTCAGAGGAGGTTTTCCATTGCCTTCCTCTGAGGTTGAGAGCATGTCATTCAGTGGGTTTCATAGCCGAGCTGGGAATCGAACCCTGGTCTCCAGAACCATAGTCCAACACTCGAACCACTATGCCACTGGCTCTCAGGTGTTAAAGTGGTGTCAAACTGCATTAATTCTGCAGTGCAGATGCTGCCTAAGCTTCGAGAAGCAGTGGTGACAAAAATCTCTTGAAGGCCATATTTGGCCACATGCACTATGTCCTATCCCCAGTCTGTGACAGTGATTGGCAACACTTCTCGAAGGTTTCAGATGCCGGACTGAAGTGGAAATGCAGACTTAATTTGGAATCTGTTGGATATAAAGCAACTGATTTTCTGATCTGTTTTATTTCTTGTACGCCCTCAGAATGATGTCACTGGTTCAATCTGAAATGTCCCCTTCTTCTCCGAGAAGGCAAATGGATGCAGCTGATCATGTACAGGTATGAGATTTTTGTACAATGGAAAATATCCTCTGGGGCTATCAGAATGCTGTACAGAGCTTGGGAAAAATAACTGTGACTCTCCAAGGCATTTTTAAATCATGGTTCTGGGTCCAAATGGACACCCAGTGCTAGCTGCCGCCGCCGCCGCCGCCACCCACCATGATGATATTGATTATTGCTGTTATTACTTGTTCTTGGGGTTTTCTTGGCAAAATTTCCACAGGGGTTTTGCCATGGCTTTTCTGGGGCTGAGAGAGTGTGCATGCATATATTTTTTAATTTTTTTTAATTTTTTAAATTTTTTAAAAAAAATCTTTTTATTTTTATTTATTTATGTATTTATTTATTTATTTTTGGTGCTTTGGCCCCCCAATTGTCTGAGGAACAGCAACCCAGCCCCTGACTCAAAAAGGTTGCCTACCCCTGTTTTAGCAGATTATATCCTTCGAAGACATTGCCATCTACTTCTCCAAGGCAGAATGGGCTCTCCTGAATCCCTACCAAAGAGCCTTCTACAGGGAGGTCATGATGGAGAATTATGGGAACGTGGTCTTCTTGGGTAAGCAGCCTGCCTCCTTTCTTTATTCATGGGATGGGGAACAAGGAGTTCTTGAACAATCATCAAAATTATTTTATATGGAGGCTGATGTTTCTGCCTCCATGAGGTGAAGGATCAGGATCTAGAACATCTTTCCAAAATGTGGCCTGATGAGGTAGAAACCTTAAATTTTGTGTATTGTTGTTGCATCAAAATTATTTTATTTTAACATTTATATCCTGCCTTTTCACCAGTGACCTCACAGTGGCATAGATGGCTCTTCCCCACCACCACCTTTATTCTCACAAATACCCTGTGCAGGGGGTCAGGCTGAGAGGAAGGAGAATGGTGTGACTGATGGAACATGTGTCTCTTATTTAGCTGTACAGTTGACCTTCCACATTTGCAGCTTTGACTTTTGCAGATTTTATTATTTGTGGATTTGATTAATAGGTTCTCTCTAGGAATCTCTAGGTCCTCCAGCGCAACTCTGCCAGATGTTGACCATAGAGTTGTGCTGGGAAATCTAGAAGTTCCTAGAAAAAAACACTTCTCTAGGCATTTGTAGGTTGTCCAGCATGATTCTGTAATCACCTTCTGGCAGATGTTGATCATAGAGTTGCACTGGAGGACCTGGAGATTCCGAGAGAGGTATTCTCTCAAGTAAAAAAAAGTGTGTTTTTATTTGCAGTTTTTCCACATTTACAGGAGTCCTTCACCCCTAACACCAGTGAATGTGGAGGGACCACTGTATTTTATTGTAACCTATTTTATAAACTGTCTTAGGTCCCATATTAGGAGAAAGGTGTGGTGGAAAACATGTAAGTAAGTAGATTTTTTGCTCCTCACTGCCAGAACCTCTGATTTATTCCCTCTTAGAGTGTGTCTACACCAGGGGTAGGCAACCTTTCCCCTTTAAGGGCCGAGGGACTTCAGCTCCCAGAAGCCTCAGCCATGTTGGCCAATAGTCCCATGTTGACCAATAGCTCCTGGGATTCTAGGAACTGAAGTCCCTCGGCCCTTAAAGGGGACAGGTTGCCTACCCTGGTCTACACTGTAGAAATAATGCACTTGGATCTCACTTTAAGTGCTATAGCGCCATCCTATGGAATGTTGGGGTTTACAGTTTTAAAAGGTCTTTCACTTCTCTGCCAAAGAGTGCTGATGTCTTACAAAACTACAAATCCCAGGCTTCTGTAGGATGATGCCATGGCAGTCAAAATGGTGTCAAATCGCATTATGGTAACCTCCTGAACTTACTTTGCTTTTCCTGTGCACACAGAGAGAGGAATGACGCCACTGGTTCACTCAGGATTATCACCTCTTCATCTAAGCAGACAAATGGATGTAGTGACTCATGCTCAGGTATGAGATTCCCAAACAGAGACTAATTCATAGAATCATAGAGTTGGAAAAGACCTCAAGGGCCATCCAGCCCAACCTCCTTCTTTTCCTTCAGGCACACATAGGGGTTACAGTTACAGACAATAATTTCCAGTGTCCAGTTCTGGGCACCACAATTCATGCAGGATGTTGAGAAACTGGAGCATGTCCAGAGGAGGGCAACCAAAATGGTGAAGGGTCTGAAAACCATGCCTTATGAAGAGAGACTCAGGGAGCTGAGTATGTTCAGACTGGAGAAGAGACGATTAAGAGGTGATATGATAGCCCTGTTTAAATATTAGAAGAGATATCATGTTGAGAAGAGAGCAAGCTTGCTTTCTGCTGCTCCAGAGAATAGAACACAGAACAATGGATTCAAGTACAGGAAAAGAGATTGCACCTCAACATTGGACCTTATCCCACGGGGCCAAAAGCAGCAAGAATCCACTAAGAATCAGGCGCTATAGCGCTATACATTCCCGGGTGATCACACGACGTCGCTCAGAATCGGCTAAGAATCAGGCGCTATAGCGCTATAGTTTTCCGGGTGATCACACGACATCGCTCAGAATCAGCTAAGAATCAGGCGCTATAGCGCTATAGTTTTCCGGGTGATCACACGACGTCGCTCAGAATCCAACAAGAAACCGCTCGGAATGCAGCATCATTCGGGTTCTTTTGAATGTCGGTTTCAGCGGGCATTGCAATAGCGCTAGCTTATCCATAGCGCTATTATGGCGCTAGCGCCATATTTATACTAGCGCTATAGTACTGCAATGATGCTCATATCGCTTTCTTGCCACTTTTGAGAGCAGCGTGGGATAAGGTCCATAAAGAAGAAATTTGACAGTGCTATTTAGTTATTTGACAGTGGAACATGCTTCCTCAGATTTTGGTGGAGTCTCCTTCTTTGGAGATCTTTAAGGAGAGGCTGGATGTCTATCTGTCGGGAATGCTGTGATTGTGTATTCCTGCATGGAAAGGAGTAGGAATGAATGGCCCTTAAGGTCTCTTCCAACTCTATAATTCTATGTTTTCAACCAAGCCAAAAGTAATAAAAACCATAGTGCAAACTGGCTAAAAAGTCCTTGACTTCTCACAAGGCCATGGGGAGTCTGGCCAGGAGTCTTAGGCCACCTAGGGCCTAAGCAGACTGTCAGAAATAGTGCACATTAAATTGAGGCACTGCCCTGGCTCAGTGCTAGGGAATCATGGGAACTGTAATTTATTGTGGCACCAGAGCTCTCTCACAGAGAAGGCTCAATGTCCCAGAAAAAAATACAGTTCCCATGATTCCCTAGCACTGAGCCAGGGCAGTGCCTCAATTTAATGTGCACTATTTCTGACAGTCTGCTTAGGCCCCTAGTCTCAGCTCCCCTAGATGTAGCAAGCACCTTGCCCCAAGTCTCTCTTTGTTAGAGTCTCTTAGAGCTTACTGCATGGTCCTTTTTCCGGTTTTTTTGTATCATCTGTTGAGAAGGATCCAGAAAGTTCACACTTCTATCCAGCTGGTCATCTCATTAAACAAGTGCTCTATGATGCTGAACCTCATTAAAATGTGTCATAGCCTCCTCACATCATTTAAGCCTTTGCTACCTAGGAAGAAGACTATCTGCTGCTCAAATAATGGGATAAAATCCATTATCACAGGGCTGTTAGAGACACAGTGAGTCCTGAGCCATGGTGGATTTCTGTAAGTGGAATGCTTACGTTCCATGTAGTAGCAATAGCAATATAGCAATAGCAAGTACATTTCTATACCACTTATCAGTGAAGTAGCACTCCCTAAACAGTTTACAGTTTGTAAGCCAATTGCCCCCAACAAGCTGGGTACTCATTTTACCGACTTACGAAAGGAGGGAAGGCTGAGTGGACCTTGGACCCTGCCTGGAATCAAATTCACAACCTTGTGGCTGCAGTACTGGTATTTAACCACTGTGCCACCAGGGCATGTAACCATATAGGATCATGGCCTCTGTGGTCCCAGGACAGGCACAGCCCCATACTCAGTCAGTCTTCCATGCCAAAGCATTATGTAAATGTGAAAATACACAACCATCTGCCTAAGTTTCCGTAGGGAAGGCAAACTTTAGTTTCATGCCTGTGGATTTACTACTACTGACAGAGAGCTCGTTGTCCTAGCTGAAACCGGTGAATTTCGAAGATGTGGCCGTGTATTTCACTGAAGGGGAATGGGCCCTCCTGGATCAAGACCAAAGAGCCTTCTACAGGGAGGTCATGCTAGAGAATTATGGGAACCTGGCCTCTTTAGGTAAGGAGACTTTTTCATTGCTTGGGTGATGAACTGTGAGAGTTTGAAGCAACTGTAGTGTTGTGTTGGTGGGCTGGTGACTCCATTTTGGGTTCTAGTTTTAACTTTAATGAAGCTATCAAAGCTGCTCAACGTCTTTGTGGAGGTAGAGCCAGCATGGTGTATTGGTTTGAGCCTTGGACTGCAACTTTGGAGGCCAGGGTTCAAATCCCTGCTTGGCCATGGAAACTGACTGGGTGATTTGGGGCAAGTCATACTCTCTCAGACTCAGAGGAAGGCAAAGGCAAATGCCCTCTGAACAAATCTTGCCTGTGATAAGGTTGCTATAAGTTGGAAGCGACTTGGAGGCACACGACAACAACAAGTTCAGCATCTTAGATAACACCTGTAATATTCATCCTGAAACCCAGATTGGTTAACCTAAGTTAATCAAGTACAATAACATCCAAAATCCACAAAACAG